CGACCACCTTCAACGACAAGCGATTACACTATTCCTATCCGTAATCTATCCGAGAAGCGACCTTGGCTCATTGAAATAACTCTGTCAGATCTGTGGTTTATTACACAGGCCCAAGCTAGTCATTTTCTTAGCACCCGAGGATTAATAATAGTTCGTTTTTATTTGACAGATAGCGAGTTCAAGGTCCCAGTGGTAGTACTCTTTAAATATTTTTGAGACTATCATTCTGCTTTAGCGTCATTGCCTTAGTATCACATCTTCTTATACAAATTGAGCTAAGGCCTTAGCTGAGTGCATAAAAGCTTCAGTCATCTCAGGTCGTCAGAGAAAAAACGACTACTATATATATTTATATATTTACATTTCAAAGTTTGACGTCCAGACACATTTCCTAGTAAGTCTATGTTGGCATCTTGAGCTTATGAATCTGTATCAAGTCTATATCTGAGTTTCAATAGAAAATTATGTAAGAAAACCAGTTGTTTGCGGCTGCATGTGAAAATTGGTAAACGATTATGAAGTTCACCCGTTATCGATCATAAGGAGATGTTCCTCCAGATATATATATATCAACCGGCACGTCGATTTGAACGAGCTATACGGTGGCTTGAGATCAAAACTTACAGCATCCCGTCCTATTCACACATCGACGACCGCTAACCTGGTGACATCCCCCTTCCAACCACACGCCGCCCACAAACACGCGGGCTTGCCCTCACATCTTCCAACCCACCATCCGCCCTCCTCCTTCCAAATGCACATCGCCCACAAACACGCGCGTTCACAATGACTCACCTCACACACCACTGGTCTAGTTTTTCCTATTCGCTTAAGTTGCCTATGAATATATGTGCTTCGCCGATCTAGGATCTAACGCCAATAGACAAAGAGCGGACGAGATGCCAGTTTAACACCTATAAAGACTGTGAGGCGTATACAAAAACAACTTCGGACGATGAAAGTCTGTACGCTTTCAAAACGTCAGGACATTATACCCATTATTCCCGTGATCGTCTCTTCTTCTCATATATATATATAACTCTGCCGGACAGATACTTTTCTTTCTTGACAGCATTTACTTGTTCACTTTCATAACCTGGTTTGGTTAGAGAGCAAAAGACTACAGGATAAGTGCGTATTTAACGAATTGGCAACTAGAGCTTGTATTAGTATTAACCATCATAATACTTTAGAAGTAGAATTAGGATAAATTCAAAGGCGTCCAATCTACATGTACGATTCCTAATGCATTCAAGATGCGTAAAACCAAACGTGGTTCCACATGGCCGGTTGGTCTTGTCGGCGGCCGAGTTCGGGAAGGTTGCGTAACGGACGAACGGGATCCGACAAAGATCATCAGTTTCGACGCTACTTTCAGACCTAAACGGAAGTTCCCTCTCGACATGGCGGGCTTTGCAGTAAACCTAGAGCTGATTCATCGGTATCGTCAGGCTGCTTTCGACTACGTCCATAAAAATGAACAGGAAGGTTGGCTCTTATCTCAACTGGGATTCAATAATGCCTATGAGCTGGAGCCCAAAGCCAATGGATGCAGTGAGGTAAGATAAACTGCCTGTATATACATATCCCCGGAACTGATGTCTGTGTTACTACGTTGTCACTCTAATCGCGTTTTATTGCACATTAACGTAACAGCTTTAGGAGTGCTTAAAATGAAAATCATGCTGTCGGGGTTAGTAGTTATTATATTAAACGTAAAAACCGAGGCTTGGTCGAATAGTCTCTGTATACGTGTCCAGTCAACATGGTCGTTTCCCGCCATTAAAATACGGTAGACATGGAAAAGACTTGGTTGTAAATAATAATGCTATCGTGAATGTTGTGTTAGGTTGCGGCATTTTCCTCACTCTGTCGAAATGTACGAAGTCGATAACAGAGGATTCGTCCTAGTTAGC